CACACACACACACACACACACACACACACACACACACACACACACACACACACACACACACACACACACACACACACACACACACACACACACACACACACACACACACACACACACACACTTTGCATATATGGATGTTTATGCACAGACCAGTCTCCCATGAACAAACCTTTATTAATACTTCTGTCCGGTAAGAACTGAAATGTGTTTAGTATTCATTCCACATTCTTAACAGTTATTCTGCCACAATAAAAGTAATACCCATGAACGTAATTCTGCTCCTGAATAATCAATCTATCAGTCTTTTCTCGGTGAGAATCAGACACACTAGGCTCTCTACCTCATCTGCATACTCCTCCGATCTCCATATGAGGAGTTTATGTCACTATCTCTTATTAATATTGTATATACATCTTTATCTATATGCAACTCTGCTGTCTGAATAAGTCAGTAAGAAATAAAGTAGATACAGGTGTCACTCTTTATCTGTATTTATATATATATATATATATATATAATATATATATATATATATATATATATATATATATATATATATATATATATATATATATATATATATATATATATATATATATATATATATATATATATATATATATATATATATATATATATATATATATATATATATATATACTTATCTATATACTGAACTCACTCACCCACTCACACTCACTCACACACACACACATAAATAAGCATTTAATATCTTACTTAATTAATTAAATGTCTTACTTGACCACAGCCATTAACTGTTCTTCAGAATCTGCATTAGAGAATGGGAAACTCCTGTCCAGACTTCTTATTTTCTCTTCACATTTCTCTATAATCAATGTCAAAGTGTTTTGAAGGAAAGCCAGATCCTCTTCACTGAACGAAGAAGCAACTATCTTGGTCTGAATGTTCTTAACCAGAGAGTGTACGTAAACTGCATCAACATTTGGAAGCTGGACGGCCGCTTTGCACCATGAGATGAGCTGTGTATCCTTTCTGACATCATGTAAAATTCTTAACTGTGTGCTTAAAGCTGTCAGACTTGCTGGTAGATTGCCTTGCCAAAGTCCACTTGCATTATCCATCTTAAAAATAAATGAGAATATTTTTAGAGAAAAAGTCTACATCAAAATATAAGGGAAAAGCAATAAGTGCACACCCACACTCACAACAGAGTCTATGTATCAGTTTGAGTATAAATTTGTGTTAAAATATATTAGACTGAAATTCCTAGATATATTCTTAATAGTGCTTCTGAAAAATATACAACTTTTGCAATCAGTTCAATCATATCACTTAAGTCTTATAAGGTTCAACAACTAACTATTCATATAAAACAATGCACTATTTACCAAGGGAAATGTATGATGCTGAAAAAGGCGCAGCAGGAACTCGTCATAAGACTGGTGTTGTTCGCCTAAATCCGACGAACAGGTTATGTGCCCTGATAAGTGTACTTTAACTGATTCCACGTCCAAACTGGGTATACCTGCATCAGATATACTCTGAAACTCGTACCATCCATCAAACTCTCTTTCTATCACTTCCTGAAATAATAAAAAAGTAAGCGGATTTTAGTCTTTAGTGCTACAAAAATTTTAATACCCTGACCCTTCATGACATTTACAGTGGAAGCCACATATTTAATCTCAAGAAACACAAAACTAGATGAACTTTTACCATAATGGGAATGCTGAGGGTTGCAATTGGCAGAACTCTTGGGAAGTGAATAGTGGCCAATTTAGGTTCAAATAACCAAGAGAGTTCATCTTCGCCATTTTGCCTGGAAACAGAATCCAAAGTCAGTGTTTTTGAAGATGGAGTGAAAATTGCATTTACTGGAAAGGCTTGAAGCAGAGGAGGAAAGTGGGGAGCAAGAAGAAAAGGAGGAGGAGGAAGAGGAGGAGGAGGAGGAGGAGGAGGAGGAGGAGGAGGGAGGAGGAGAGAGGAGAAGGAGGAGGAGGAGGAGGAGGAGGAGAGGAGGAGGAGGAGGAGGAATAGGAGGAATAAGAGGAAGAGAAGAAGGATGATGATGAAGAGGAGGTTGATGAGGAGGAGAAAGAGGCAGAGGAAGATGGTAATGAGTGTGGAGAGGAAGATGGTACTGGGAAATAGATAAAAAAATGAAAATAATGATTAAAAAGAGAAGGGAGACATAACAGGATATGGAAATAGTGATGAGGAAGGAGGAGAAGAAGGAAAATAAAAAGAAGAATAAGAAAATGAATCCAAGAATAAAAAAAGACAGACAATAGCAAAAGTAAAAAAATATCAGTAACATAAATCATGTAAACAAGAACAATTCAGATTATGTACCAAACCAAGCTTAAGTTTCAAATAAAACCAAATATTCATTGTATAAAAAGGATGGAAGTTTAACTATTCGATTATCAGTTTACTTACCAAAGCTGTAGATATATGTGGTCTTTCTGGGGATCTCGGATGGGTCTGGATATTGTAATCAAATAAAAAAAATCAAATA